ACAAGCGATTTTTGACAAAACAAACGTTTGTTTTGAATTTTCCTGATCGTGTTACATTACACCTGATCTTGAAATCTGATTCGTAGTTTAGATAATATGCGCCACAGTTGCGCCACAAACCTGGCACACATTTCAGACGTGCTATATGCATAAACATATCGGCCCATATGACAGTATCCTTATTTCTATGACTGGCCTACTAGTATACCAAAACTGAATTTGCTTATTGTTATATAATTAATTAGAGTATTTCTTGTCTAAAAAAGTTCTCACGCGCATGTTCTTACAGGCGAGGCGAATCCGATTTGGGGGTCGTTTAAAGCGTTGTGCAATCACGTGATATAAAGCCAATCAAATTGTTTGTTTTGATCGACACGGATCAGAAAACGAAGAATACAAGAAAACTGAAGGTGATTTTACCTATAAGACACACCCTAACCCTAACCTCTAACTAACCCTTACCTTAAATTTAACTAAATAGTCAAAACCATATAATGCACACCGCTTTAAACGTCCCCGATTTGTTTCATTATATCGTGAATTTTACTGGTTACGCGTAAAAAAACCATGGTCATATAGTTAGAAAGTTATATAAATATCATGTGTAAACGATTATGCACACCGAGAATATGAGCTAATGTGTTTTTTTCGTTTCATTATATCGTGAATTTTACTGGTTACGCGTAAAAAACCAGTTCTGATCTTGGTCATATAGTTAGAAAAGTTGTATAAAAAGGGGGGGCCAAGCTGATTCTCTGTTTTACATTACCCCCCCCCCCCCCCCCAGCGTCCCCCTCTCCCTCATAGTAAAAAAATTTTGAAATAAAAAATTTTTGAAAATTTTACTATGTAAATCACAAATCCCTCCCCAGGGGAGAGGGGGGTAATGTAAAACACAGAACCAAGTTGGTCTCGCCATATCATGATCTTTCGATTAATTTAATTGTAACCCTATCATCGTGTTCAAACACGTATATGTCGTAAGTGTAACTTCAGATAGGCAATATTGGTCATTTTAGATCACATTCAACTTTATGTAAATATCGAATGGTAAATTTTATAAGTCTTAACAGGTCATAAGATCACATAACCTGCATCAGGAAAATTTTAAATTAGTTGGCAATCGATTGACAGATGGAAATATCAATCGATAAGCAGCACCCTTGTTGACTGTTTGCGATACAGATTAGAATCGATTGATGCTGATTAAAATCGATCAATATTGATTAGTATCGCTTGTTTGAAAATCGATTAGCATCAAAATGAATTAAAGTCGATTGATTTTTTAATCGATTATGCATCGATTAGTAACCAATATCGATTATCAATCGCCCTGTAGCTGGTAATCGATATCCACCCTATTTCAAAATTTCCTGATGTGCCATTAATCAATAGGTCATAAAAAGTCAGGGCTAACACTGCAGAAAGGTGCTAACTACAGAAACAATATATATATATATATATATATAAGATGGCCGGAATGATAAAGATTTATAATTAAATTTGCTAAGCACACTTACCAAAAAAATAACAAAACTATACAAAGAACTTCCAATTATTTATTTATTTGGATGATAGTCAAGAAGTTTATTATATAAATATACCACTAAACTGACCCATCCTTTTTGATTCACAGGGTCCATTTTTTTTGATTCATAAAAAAGGCCCACTTTTTTTGATACTTTTAACACTTTTAACCCTAATAAAAAAGTGGGCCTTTTTCTATGAATCAAAAAGGATGAAATTACAAATTGTAGGATTTAAAAAAAAATCCAATCGCAGGATTAGACTTCATTAAGCCGAAAAATACCTTTATTATAAATACTTTAAAATTATAAAAATTTTGGATTTATATGAAGATTTGATCTGACTCAAATCCCTTATCCAATTTTTTGAACAAGAAAATTTCATGCAAATGAGCTTTCACAGCTTTACTCATCTAACTCAGAATTTTGCATCAGGAAATTTTGAAACTGATCGTAATCAATTATAATCGATATAAATTACAACTAATCGATTATAATCGATTAATTTAACATTGTTTGTAATCGATTTTATATACAGTCGATACTGTCTAATTGCATACTGTCTAATTGCATATACTCTCTAAGTGCATAAAAAAATTTTGATTTCAACTATTGACAGCAAAATGATTATTATGACTTAAATGCATATACTGTCTATATGCATAAAAAAGTCTCTGACGGATGGCATGTAATTAGACAGTATCGACTGTATATTAATTATAATCGATTTTGATTTAAATCGATTATTAACACCCATATCAATAGCAATCGATTAATTGGTTGTAGTCAATTATAATCAGGTTTAAATTTTCTTGATATAGTTCAAAAGGTGACTTCATTAATAAGATGTCCCAGTCTCGGATAAATGAGCTTTTTTCTCTGAATCGAATCTCTTGTTGCAATTTTGCAATTGACAAGAAAATTCTTCAGGGAACTTCTCTTTTGAGTAATGTGATTTTGATAAGATACAAAACTAAAATGAAGAACTCATAAAGACATCACTGATGAAATTGCCATTTCTCTTTTCTGATTTCTTTTGAACTTTAAATATGTGAGTTGAATCAAAAGTTGGTGTTCTATTTCATGTCGATCAAGAATACCAAAAAAAAAAAAAAAAAAAGCATTACAGATATTATGAGACGATTAACCTATAAAAAAGATGAATCAAATTAGTAATACTTTAAAGAATTGAACGTGTGCAAAATTGCAAAATAAGTGCCGCATATTCTACCCTACAAGGACAAAAAAAAATACGAGTTGAGCTTCCCGAGAGTTTCTGGATGGTTAAAAAAAAGGTTGCAGTACTGATGGTAATAAAACCTGAATCATCATAATATTTCTAATAAAAAAAAGTAGTAAATAATGAGACATCAATTGTCCGGACAGGTCAGAATAGTCAAAAACGTACGTATGCTCTGTATCTTTTTTTCTATAGACAGGTTAATGGCTTGTAAGGTTGTAAAAAAAAAAAAAAAAAAAAAAAATACTATTGTTAATTTCAATTATATGCTAATAATGTATTATCGAGGTTTTTAATATTTTTTCAAAAAAAGGGAAAGGCAAACTGTAAGAAATCCATTCTTCATCACGATAATCCCCCCTTGTTACACAGCTGCCATTGTTACTGAATATTTAAAGCAAGAAAATATAAGCAAGAACGTTACTTTGCTGCTACTACACCCTATAGTCCGGATTAGCATCATGTGACTTTTATTTGTTCCTAAAATAAAAAATGGAATTGGCGAGCTTGCATTTTTATCAAAAATCCTGCACCCGTTGTTAATTCAATTATCAATAATATCCAAAATGGA